GAAAAAAAAAATTTTTTTTTTTTAAAAAAAAAAAAAAAAAAAAATGAATACACAGCAAAAAAGAGACCTGCTAGGAAAATTATTTAAGTGACTGCAGTTTGCTTTCCAGTTGATTTTTGTGTTTCTTTAGCATCAAACTGGTCCTGTGGCTTTTACCCGCATAATGTATATCATTAATCCTGAGTGATCTCATTACAAATGATGCAGTAAGATGTATATGTATTGTAAATAATTATAAGGAAAAGCTGTTAGGCTTTTTAAATATATTTTTTCCAGTATGTCTTTTTCACTGTCCGATTTATTTGTGTGATATAGCCTGTTAATATCTCTTTCTAATAAAAACTATGGAAATGCTGCTGTGGTGTGAGCTTTATCCGTTTGCAACTACTCCAATACTGATGACTTTTACTAATTTGATCAAGATTAAATGCATGCTGGAGAAACAACTGGTAAGAATAGATGGAAAGTTGCTAGGGCCATGAGAGGTACTTTTAAAGGAACATATTTTAAAAAATGGAAGTTTTATAAAGATCCACAGTCTTGGCAGCAAGGGTCTGATCTTTAATGGTGAAATCTCTGTCCCATTGAGATCAATGACAAAACTGCCATTAAGTCAAGATTTTACCCTGAGACTCAGATTCTTGCACAGAGGCAATTACGTAGGTTATCTAGAAGTGCTCAGCACAGTCATGAAGTGTCTGTTACATACTGTAAGAAACAAAAGCACCTAAAGATGTAATTATATTGCCTATGTTTGCCGGATTATATGTGTAGTTTGTTTTTAATCTGGAAAGTAATCATTACTGTATGAGTAACCATTCAGTAGCATCATATAACACCTATAGTTTATGCTGCCTCCACTGCTACAGGTAGATACAGCATTCCTTTACCTATACTCTGTGTCTTTCAGGAAGATTCAGCATCAGAGTTTTGTGGGATGAGTCCACATATTCCCCTATGTAGAACTTGCCTACCAGTCAATTCAGTTTTAAGGTAGACTTTGTTGGTAGCACTTTTGAAAAGTCAACCTGCATCTTCCAGTGGCATTTCTACAGATCTTTCTGGAGAGATTCCTATATTGTGTTATATATTTTTAGGCCAAGGCATCACAGGGGTTCCTCATTCCACTGGTTCCTGCATAGTCAGATGGGCCTGGTAAGTATTTCCATCCTTTCCCAGAGAGTAGCAAGATTGAATACTTTTCTTGAAATGCTTCTGTCTTGTCTTTTGCCTGCCATATGTAGGTCTCGATTTCATATTTCATTTTCCATCACCTTAACTATTCTACTTGCCTGCTTGTACTATTTGTAAATAATGCTGAAATTTTGCATTTTTATAGCTAAGGAACACTTGTAGCTTTCCAGCGTGGGTGGCATTAAATTGGTTAAATTAATTCAATTACAAGATGAAATGTGATATCCTATATCAGCTAGGATACAAATTTCTAGGACATGGGAAAGAAGCAGTTCTCAGGAAACATTGCAAAGGTTAACATCCTCTGTTGGGGCTAAATTTTTTTGTCCTTGACTTTTGCCATTTTAGCCTGAGAGTAGAGATTATGAAAGAAAGACTGGACTTTCAGGTCTCCATGCTGAAACCTGAGCCCAAAAGGATAAAACAATGTGTTTTTGTCTGAAGCCATTCTGTGGAAGGTTCCTTTTTTGCATTTAGAATGGGGAATCTCTGTTTCAGTTCCACACTTCATACTAGCAAAGATCAGGATAGCATTATGAATTAAATTTCAATTTGAATCTCTAAAAATGAGAACAAAATACATGTTTCTTCACAGAATAATGGGAAAAAAGGGCTGGAAGGAATGCAAGAGTCATCTAATCCAACTTGCCCTGTTTATGGCAAGAATGCCACTGTTTAAACCAAACTGGAATAAAAGTTTTTCTAACTTGCACTTAAAGGCTTCCAATAACTGAGATTCCACAAATTCTCTAGGTAACCTGTTTCCATACATGGATCCAGGGTGGGGGTCAGTGATGCAGTTGTGCTCGTCCTTTGACTCCGGGTCCACTCCAAGTTTAGAACCAACTGCCTGGTGGTAGCAGTATCATTTCTATTCAGGCATCAGTCAATTGACTTCATGGCTCATAATTTACCTGATTCCTTCTACACACTTTATTCCACAGGTGTTAGTGATGCACACTCCTTTTTAATGGTGGTCAATGGTTCCACTAATCAAACGATCTTTTCTTCTGAAATTCTGCTCGTGGTAATGTCACTCCTATTTCACAGCCCTGCAGATTGTTCTTAACTCTAGTATAAACATGAACTCAGGAGTGGACATAATTTTCAGTGAAGCATTGAATGTGCTGTCAAGATGCTCAAGAAGGTTAGATTTTATGAATCTGAAAAAGAGATGTACTTTTCATTCTCATGATTATCGGACTAATGAATCCACATCTTTTTGATTATTTTGCCTAGTTTGTTGTGTTTTTATATATAATATATGGGATAGCAAATTAATGCACGTTCCAATATTTTTTTTGCTTCAATCTTAAACTGAATAATATAGCCCTCGGCCCCTAACTTATTAGTAATACTTCTAGTTTCTTTTTAACTGGATAAAAGTATGTATTGTTACATGTGATGATGCACCACACTATCTGCACCTCCCTTTTCAAAATCTTGAGTCTGCCCTGGCCTGTTTCAGAATGTAATTGCCATCAGGGTTTGAATGTTCTTGTTAATGGCCACCCTAAATCTCCCTTGTTGCAGCTTAAGCCCATTACTTCTTTTCCTGTTCCCTGGGAGCACTGACAATAGTTGATCGTCATCCTCTAACAATTCTCTGAATTTGAAAACGTATCAAATCTTCCTTCCCTGCCAAGTCATATAAAGCCTTATCTAAACACTGAAATTGATGGAAGGAATTACAGAACTTCAATAAGTTTTGATTCAGACATATGAACAATGTTATAGGAAGTGGTTGTGGCAGAAGTCCACCTCTGTTTCTCCCCAAAAACGCTGCTCTGTGACAATTTGGTTAGATTGGGCCCTGCAGAGGGTGCACACCTTACCCTATCTCTTTAGGTAACCTGAGCTGGATACATTCCTGAGGGAGGGGGGAAACCTCAGAGGGAATCTCCCCCTGCCTCTGGATGATACTTGTGAGTAAGCTACCTGAGATCTAACTAGCTATATAGCTTGTAGTAACTCAGATATGTGATCAAAGGCTACCCACCCATGGGAGTTTGCTCTGTGGGATTTCTCTGATATTGCTGTAACCTGTACCCTATTCCAGCCTTACCCCTTGTAACCAATAAAGTTCTCCTTTGCACCTAGCGTGGGAGACTTATTGGATGTGGGTCTAGATTATGCTTTGGGGTCTCCTTGGTTCAGCTGACTAAGGGAGACCACTACTTGTGCTTTCAACTGAGGGAAGCACCCCAAGTTCTTGAAATGAGTCAAGTACCCTCGAGGGCTACTAGGCCTGTGTTTTCCAGGATGCGCAGAGCCAGAATCAAACCCATCCCTGGGTGGTGGCAGTTTTACCCCCAGGCTAGTAGGTGTGCTCCAGGAAGGGGGTCAGTCAGACGTGAGGCACCCTGAGGGAGGCACTTGGAGCCCAGAAGGTGGTCGGGCGCAGTGAGGTGGGTGGCTCAATGCAGGAGTGCCCCCTACTGGCCTGCCACAGTGGTCATGCCATTCATTGTTGCTTGAATAAAGGTAAAAGATTGGATGATCAAGATCCAGTCATCGAAGCACCTGAGTACATCCATTAGCCCCAAGACAGTAATTGTTTCTATGCCACAAACATGCAGTTAAGATGAATGTAGTTAATGAAGTGCTAATATGTAATTATGTCTATTTTTAACTGGATATAGTAAATTCCCCAAAGCTTGCTTGTTAGCATGGTAATTGCTTCAGTTATAGGTGATAGGATTTAAGCTTACAGTTGAGTTTGGTCTCATTGCACATCCAAGACAGACTGAAGATATGTTAAGAAGTGTTGTTTTGAAGAATTTTATTCTTGGAAAACCTAGACTATTTTTAGTTTGCAGTATTTCAAATGAAAACCTTAAACTAATATTATTTTAGTTTATTTATAACTAGGTTCTACTACACTTTACTGTTTCTGCCGTGATTTTTCTGTACAACTGTTAGAAAATTCCTCAGGTTTTTTTCACTGATATTCTTTGTAATCATTTATTTTAAGCAGTGGTAAGCAGAATACAGCCAACCACAGAATCCCTGAAGCCCTGTCACCTGCAAACCAATTTGAAAGGTATGATGTTAGAAAGATCTTTCATCAAAAACATCTCTTAAAATATAACACAGCTCTCCAATGGCTAAATACTGCAGTGCACTTAGAAAATATTGTATAGTGCTAATCAAGAATGTCTGTTATAGGAGGTGGCCATGCCATTCATTATTGCTTAAATAAAATGAATACATAATTGTATAAAATGGACAGATTTTGGTGAAGGCCGTGTCTATTCTAGGAAAATAGTCATGGTTAAGAGTTATTTTGGTAATATATTTTCATTTTATGTTAACATATACTAAATTTAAATAGTAATATAGTCAAAGGTTAGCACTTTGCAACCATATATAGTACAGCCTCATTATAATGAAGGCCCATGGGACTGCGAGAAAAGTTCATTGAAAGGGAGTGTTGCTATACCAAGTTTAGTCCATTAGTTGCATCACAACCCTGGAAAATATAAGTTCCTGCTGTGGAGATTATTAAAAGCTTCTGCTGTGCATGTTGCTTTGGATGGTTTGGCACTACTATTTTTTTTAATAGGGATTCGTGGTCTGTATGGAAGTGACTTTGTTCCTTGTGTCATAAAAACGTTGCTTCTGTCCTCATGCTACGTAGGAACATGTTGCCACCCAGATGCTTGTCTCAAGCTGTTTGTATAATTTATTTCTGACCTCTGTCATGAGAACTATGATACTAAGAGCAGGCTTTCAGTTGTA